AAGGTATGCCTTCTTTAGTATCTGGTCGCCAGCGACAGGTCAATCGAGTTTTCACTGACAGACTGTACCAATCTCAGGTTTTGTCAAATTCTATGGATCCCTGCGGTAAAGTTTTCATTCAGAGTGGACCTAGCTATATTATTATCATGATAGAAGACATCGAAGAGCATACTGAAGTGCACAAACATCAAGGTACACTCTCAAAAGCAACTATACGGAGAAGAAGTCGGATGCATGGCGCATCAGAGAAAGACGCTTGGTCAACGCCGTTTGAAGCAATGAGTGAAGTCAAAGACATCGCACTTGTTCGGGTCGTGTTGCATTTTTCCAACTCAAGCCGATGGTGGACAGTCCAGCAGTGAGTGAACACCCTATTCCGCCACTAACGCCTTTGAGCAATTTTAGGCTGAGGAGTCTCACAGGTTTTTTCACACCAGATTTCCCAAAAAAAAAATTAAATCCAAAACTACCAAAGCCATGCGGCAGAGCGAAATTCTGCGCTCCTAAGCGAATGTCCTTCTCAATGGGTTTCACCCAATGTATCAGGCGTCACTGAAAAAATATCAGCATGAGCTCCAAAGAGAAAACTTGGTGTCATTGGAAGGCCCGCAAGGTTGGTCGTCCCATCAGAGCGTGATCTGAGCCAAAACTGTTTCTTGATTTGGGACTAACATAAAAAATTGGTAACCATACACGACAACTTTACGTTGAGCCCCTCCAGAGTTTTTCGTAGAAAAGAACAAGTCAATCAAATGATAAACTTAGGATCCAAAGTAGATAAGACATCGAGAGGAAGAATCGGAATCCGGAGAAAGAGCGCTGTTAAGCCAAACACCCTCAATGGAGCACGTGATGTTGAAAAAGCTGGCGGGCTGACGGGCTCACATGTCGTGGCTGTCACCAACTGCAAAAAGCCACAGCGGTAGTGCAAAAGAGAGCGGATTTCGATGATATTCTAAGATTTGGGATCGCGTTATGATAAAAGGACATAGTGAGGCAAGTTGAGATTGCATCACGTATCCGACTCGCCTTCAAAATGATGGAAATGATTGGATCACTTTCAGTGACTGCGAGTAAAAGAAGTGGAATCACGTGAATTGTGGGTTTTAGATAATGTTTTTTTGTCTCCTCTGTCTCTTTTTTTGTCTCTTCATAGTGACTCCTATGAACTATAAAATGAATAGGCTACTCTGAATGGAAAAAATATACTGAAGAGATCACAAGAGTGGATAGAACTGATTCTTGGCACATTCTGTCAGTACATGGAACCTTGATTGACTGTCGCTACACCCCCCCCCCCACCTCCAGATAGGCCAATGTCAAGCTTTGCGAATCGAGCGGTTCGCTAGCGCCCACGGCTGCGTTGCGTGTTGTTGCGCGTCGTGCTCGTCTGACATGACGCGTTTCAAGTGTCATGCTTTTTTTGCCTGCCGTATACTTTGCGAAGCAACGGAAGTTCACTGAAGGTGCATCCGTCAAGAAACCCGTGATGATTAATCAATTCTAGGAGTGTCCGTATAGAAAATTAAAAATTCAACGTTGGTTCAGTGGTGAAAAAATGGAAGGCGACCCCTAAAAAGGCGCCATGCTACAGGACAGATTCATGGCCAGACGATATGATGAACGATAAAATAGATATTACGATCAATCTCGGTATGCGCCATGCACTCATCCCATCAAGACATTCGCTTTATGCTAGAAGTTCAGAAAGCAAGCAAGGTCCGACATAGCTCTTCCTAAACTCACTACGGTACAAAATCGCATCATAGGACACGGGCCTTGCAAGTTTGATTGAGCAGGAAAAGGGCAGTACCTGCTCTGAGCACCCTTTTCATCCTTCAATCAGCTCCTTTCTCGTACTATACAAGTTATACATTTCTGCAACAAAATGAGATAGGTTTGTTTCTCTAAAAGATGTCGGATCTAAAAGTACAGAATGGCTTGACTCAAACCCACCCATTTTTTCACTCGATTTAGGGTGATATTAGTTTTTGCTGATATTCCCCCTGTGTGTGTCAGGCAGAAGAGTTCACCCACCTCCCAACACGAAATCCCTTGCTTGGTTGTGAGAGCAAAAAGGCACGACTGGGATGTGCTGGCTAGGGGCGGAGCACAGTGACGTAATCTTGTGGGTCGGCTATACCGACGGCCCGGCCATTGTGCTGAAGCCTTCACTAACAACTACACTCAAATGTTTCGGACGTGCCTGAGCGGCCTTGAAGGATGGGTATCCGCTTCAGCTTGTATGTGGCTCAAGGGGCCAAGCGCGCCCTAACGATGACAGGGGTTACTGTATACCGCACCATGTCCTTAGCATTATACTCTTGTCATGGCGGGCCTATTAGATTACACTCGTGGCTTCTCCTTCCGAAGAGCGGGCTACGTTTTTGACCCCTACAGGAGTGATTTGAGATGGGTTGCATTATAGGGCCAAATGAGCGTTTACAAAAACTTGGAGTTCCTCTATAAACCCCTTTCTTTTCAAGTACCCTACAACAATATATTAATCTAATAAAAATCTCTAGGTGTTGGTATCACTTCCGGATACCCCGCGGCAGCAAAAGGGAGGCCGTTATCAGATTTTTTCGGTACTTCGTACAAATTCCCGCTTTCACGCCATTCGCCCTCCTATTCACAATCACAAATCGCTGTCGCTTCCTCCTGCCATTGTTTTGCCAGAGAAAAACTGCATTCCTGAGGAAATCGTGATTGTTCCGGTCTAGAACGCAGATCGCGGTTTTAGGTTCTTACCAGGCCCAACGGCCTCACACTCAGCGAAGGTGAAAAGCAGTCAACCACTGGGTCAGCACAACCCAAAAGAAAAATATGGGGAGAAGAAGTGGGAGCGTGCCGCATAAAGGAGACAGACAAAGGCGTTATAAGGTATTCATCGCTACAGTCCAAAAGGTGGGCTTTTTCGTCATCAAACTGCGGTACTCTTCGTTAGGTAGGATGACTGTGGTGCGGTACCATTCAACAGAACAAAAGTCCCCTGTTTGAATGAGAGGGCCAAATACATGAGAGCCTATGCACTAACGACTTACAGATAGACGAAAACCGACTGAGAAACTCTAGATCGGCAAAGTTCCTAGGTCGAGAGAATTGGTACGGTATTCAAAAGCGCTGAGGCTCGTCGGAAATGAATTTTCGCAGAGCCTTGCTGCAAGGTAATGGACAGGTTCTGCTATCTGGGCTGATTGAGGTTCTTCTAACGGAATGTGCCAAGCGTCTAGGTTCTACCAACTCCCATAGACCTCTTCAGTGAATTTTACTGCATTCAAAATAGCCTGGCTATTTTATGCTTACCATGGAAGACCATGAAAAGCATAGATGAGTTCATACCGCACACGAGAACACACCTTCAAAAGGAAGTAGGATGCGTGGCGCATTTGAGGAAGACATTGTCCAACATTGTTCTGCGCAACGAGGGAAGTGAGGACATCGTTTTGTTCAGGCCACGTGGATATTTTCTCATTTCACGCCGATCGTTGTCAAACAATGAGTGAACACCCTATTCGTGCTTCACGAATTTCCCAGTAAATATTATAATACTACATGAATGCTTTGTTCAATCTGGATCTGCTTTTGACCCTCTTCGCGCAAGCATCAAGTGAACACAAGGAGGGGCTCAAAAAGTCACGCACTCAAACCCCATTGGGAATGCATCGGGTTCAGTTCCATGGGGATGTTGCATTCACGGTGTCGGTTACCATCTTGGCTCTAGAAGAGGAGACCACCGCGCGGAAAACGCTGGAGGCGTTTTGGATTGCTGCTAGGGACCCCAAAATCAATAGGAAAGAGAGTGCAACCCGTGACCTGGCGCCCTTCCTCGACCTCTGTAGGTTTTGAGTTTCGGTGAGGTCAGGGAGGAGAGATAGGTTCGCTCATTCCACGCAAAAGTCTGCTTCTTGGGTGGTCGATCTTGCGCCTTGGCGACAAAGATCTAGGTAAGCCTTGTAGCCCTCTTGGTTCAATCGATACCGACCTGTTGGTCTGGTAATCTGCAGGAATTGTCTTCCGCATTTTTACGGGATGTCCTTCTCAATAGGCTTCCAAAAAAAACGAATAAGGTGACATTGGGAAAAAATAACATCCAAATGAGAAAAAAACACCCTCCTGGTATCAAAGGAAGTGCCGCAAGTTGATCGTTTCATCAGCGATCTGACCCAAAACTGATTATTGATTCAGGACCAACATTAGTAATACGTGATAACTCTATGTTAAACCCTTCAGATTTTTAAGTTGAGAACCGAGCCCTCCACTCTTCCATGGTTGATTAATTTACGAAATCGCAGGGCAGGATAGACAGCTTTTCACCTGCTGACCTCCGCAAGTTCATTAGAAGCCAAATCATATCCAAATGCCACTGCAAATTCAAATGGAAATAAAGGCGAGACACGGTCTAGAAAGGGGCTGATCCAGAAGAATGCTCCAGCCTTCGTACTGTAACTGAAGCACGATGAACGATGGATGAAACAGAGGAATCATAGCGAGTACCCCACCACACAAGCAAGAAGGTTTGGCTCGCGACGTATTCCGCTTACAGAGTCAATACTGCTCGCTATCATTGGCGAAAAAAATCTTCTTTTCTTTGGCAAATCTTCAAAAGCAAAAGCTAAGCATTTTCCAGACCATCCTTGGTCGTGTGGCTTCCTGAATCGTGCTCAGGACGCAGACTACGGTAGCCGTCGGATTTTCAAACGCTTTCAGCATCCGTTTGAGTCGCCTGCGGTCTCCACGAAGAAAAATCCCGTCTCCTAGGCATAAATATTAACGAGATCTCTTGAGTATTCCCAAGATATGAGTATATATTTCACTAGAAATGACTGGGATAATAGGGCTCTAATTCACTCGAACTAAGGAATCCTAGCAACACAACAGCTCCTCCTCGAGACTGGTTTTCTGGAAGGCTTATTGTGCTCGCGTCGGCCCTTGAGGTAAGGTGACTTTAGGGTTGAACGCGTTCCACGAACTCGACCAAGTTGTGAACTTCAGGAACAATGTGCTCCATTGCGCTTCGCGTCACAGCGTGTGCCATGCTTCTGCATCTCTCGCAGGTAATACTTCATCATGATCAGTTCAGTAGTTCTGCCTCCACAATCCTCCATCAACCATATTTTCTCTCCGAAATGGAGCAAATTTCATGTAGTTTGAGTTGTCCCGCAATGTTTTGCTTTCCTCATTACGATTCTAACAAGAAATGAAACAAAAATGATCAGAAGATTAGACCAGTTTTGGTGCAAAAATGGTCCAAGTAGAATATTTTGCCATTTCAGGTGACTCCCGGTCTATCCTGCACTTTCACCCTATTCAAGGGTGCACAAATGACCAACGTCAACCTTAGTCAATCTTTGAACTACTATTACGACGATGTTACCTTGGAAGATTGTTTCAAGGAATGCCACGAGAAGTCAGACTGCAAGGGCTTCGCTTTCAAACAAGATGTTCGCTTCAATTAACGTTCTTACCTTTGAGAAAAGAATTGAGAAAAGAATAAAAGAAGAAAAAAGATTGTTTTAAGGCCAGCCTTTGCGGGATCATCGTTCCTGGAGAGGACGTGGTATCACGAGACGGTTTCATTCAGTGGGAAATCTACACGTTCGATCGAAACGTGTCCATCGCGACTTGTCCAACAGTGAAAGAGTGGATCGCGCAACAAACAAAGGACGGAAATTGAACTTGGTCGTGGCCACCAACGCGATGCAATTGCCAGTATTTTCGGCTTTTCTGTCCTCCTTCTGCTTTTGTCGTTGTGTTGTGTCGATCCTGCAGAATTTCGGGCGGTCCTCCTGTCCTGTTTAGTTTGCTTAATAAAGAGCTTTGGCACACTGTGATCATTCCATGCCCATCTGTAGTTTTCATTGTTGAGAATTGTGCAGAAATAGCAAGAAATGGTGCTAACAAAATGTTGTGGGTGCAAGAAAGGGATTGATCAGTTTTTCTAGGATGCACCATGTAATTCTGGTCCCTCGTAGTGGCATTGCTAAAAGTTGGCCCTTCCAATGGGTTAATAGGGGGAGAGCGGAGTGACCCAGTGATTCGCTAACAATTAACCGACCCAGAGGGCCGTCGGCTTAGGTTAGCTTGGATGACGTACGGCAGTTTGATCCTCATCACGTATGTGAGTGAGCGGCGTATCTTGCCAGTGCACCACCTTGAAGTTGCATATGTTGGGGAAAATGCGGAACTGCAGACTAGTTTTGTCTTTTGTCTCTTCACAGACTTCCATTTTCGCCGAGACATCTGCCCCTCCCTGGAATTAGTTCTTGTTTATGTCCCCGTATCTTATGATAGCGTTGAATGAAGTCCAACTACTTCGACGTTTTTACAATAGTAAGCATTTCATATTAGGAGATACATTCTGGTAATGTCAAATACTGGATCCCCAACCATGGATTGAGTTTGACCAATGTGTACTCCAATTCACAGTTTACACTCCCCCTCCGACTGGTGGAAATCCACAGGCTGCTCGAGCGTGAGCGTCGAGATGTGAATGAAGGAGTACAACCCTTTCGTATAGAACGACTTACTCAGGGCACTGAAGCATGGGGTTCCAAGCCGACGGAGTAGGATTGAATATCGCTTCTCATCAACAACAGAAAATCATCAGTTACTTCCCTTTTAGGTTGAAAGGGAAGTTATTGTCCTGTGTGATAATTATAAAATGAATAGGTTATTCAGAAAATGATTCACTGAAGAGATTTATAGGAGTGAATAGAACCTTGATGCTAGGCACATTCCGTCAGGGGAATCTCAATTGAGCCATCGCTGGGACAGACAGGCCGAGGTCAGACTTTGCGAATCGAAAGGGAAGAAGTCGGACACTGGCGCATTTCAGAAAGACATTTCCCAACATCGTTCGATGCAACGAAGGAAGAGAAAGACATCGCACTTGTTTGGGTTCGTGTCGAGTTTCTTCCAACTCGAGCCGATGGTGGTCAGTAAATCATTGTGAACCCCCTATTCCGCCGCTAACGCCTTTGAGCAGTTCTAGGCTGAGGAGGCTCACCGGTTTTCCACATAGCAGATTTCCGACAAAAAAAATCAAACCCAAAACTACTAAAGCCATGCGACAGAAGCGAAATTCTGCGTTCCCAAGAGGCCTTCTCAATGGGTTTCTACCAAGTTATCAGGTGTCACTGAAAAATATCAGCACTAGCTTTAAGGAGAAAACTTGTCCTCCTGGTGTCATTGGAAGGCCTGGAAATTCCGAAAGCTTCCAAAAGAAATCTGGACTTATTACTTGCTGGTAGACCTGAGTAAGGATTGCCAGCTGTCTCATTTGTTCCAAAGAGTAGCTCCAAAACCAGCCCAAAACCTCGGTCAGAATGAAGCGATGCCAGAATAGCAGCAAGTGTTTCCGCTTGAAAAGGTGGCGTCACCGATGGATGGACATCAAATTCGATGCTGTCATTTTCCCCTCTTTGGAATTACTTTAGCTATTAATATAGCCCAATCTATATCGCAAGCAAATTCCGCACCATTCTCTGACTTTTTGTGCTGTAATAACTTGAACGTGTGCAGAGTAGGGTAGCAGTGTTCTTTATGAAACAGTTTTGGGGGAGAATTAGACAACCTTTCCATAGTTCGGCTTGTTGAAGAGGGTCGTTCATGGACATTCGGCCTTTGGCGAAGGGGGGGGGGTCGTATTTCAAAATTTTCCTCGACGGCTCGCTTGACCCTGGTAAGAGATGCAGAGGGAGTGTTTGCGTGGCATGGTTGTCAGTTTTTTCCTCCAAAGAATAAGAGTGGAACTAGTGTATCAGGATTTTGTGAGCGAAAAACACCTTAAGTTGACAATTTTTCCACGCTCAACATCTCGGATTATATCGGAGCGAGTGCAAAAAATTTTTCACTAATGGTTCCGGAGCAGGTCCAAGAAGCTATGATGGCCGGCTGTTTCGCGATCCCTTCACAGTTTTAGAACATCCATTGATATGATAACACACACTTGTTATATAGTAGTTGATTTCAACTGTAAAACATCCGCATGGTCTATTAGGCTTCCTCTCTTTTTCAAATTATCATATGCCAGCTGTTGTCCTAACCGCTGTCTCTATGAATGTTTGAGCATTTATCCTCCTCACGTCGGTCAGTCTTTCGCTAGACTAAGCGAATTTTTGCGAACTCCATCATTTCTATCACGGCAATAGTCAGTTCATCAAATCGCCGAAAAGAAGATGGACTCACGTAACCCCGAATGGGCAGCATTGTCATGAGTTGGATCACATCTTATGCAACCGTAGAATCATGACGGATGTTGCAGTGGTGCCTTCGTTCAACACGGGTAGCGATCACCGTCTACTCCGAGGACGATTCCATTTCGACCGCAGCCTAGTGCGCCTGATGCGCATACGCTCAAGACATTCCACACCTACCGTGCTAGACGTAGACGCTGTCTCAAGGCTTGCAAGCGAAGAACACTTTGAAATGGTTGGTGACGTCAACACCGATTACGATAGCCTCGTGCAAGCGGTAACAAGACTTGGAGAAAGCTGTCGCCGTACTGCTCCGAATCATAATGCTCGTCGTATCACTGCAGCTACTCGCGCTCTTCTCGAGAAACGCAGGCACATGGACAGACAAAGAAACCACTTGGAGTACACTCTACTCAGCCGGTTGTGTAGAAAACGGATTGCTGAAGACCATGCCAACTTCATAAGGTCAAGACTCCTAGACGAGGCGGAAAACAGACGGAGCCTGAAGAGAACCAGAAAAGGGATTGCCGAACACCGCTTGAGGATTCCGTGCCTCAAGGCTCCAGACGGATCCCGTTGCTCATCGATACAAGAAATGGAGCAAATTCTGGCAACATACTACACAGCTCTGTTCAAGTCAGACATCCCCGTCATTCGAATGGATGCGCCGAGCACCGATGAAGTTTTGCCCTTTCTCACATCGGAAGTGCGCCATGCGGTTGAAACGATGCCCCAAAACAAGGCGCCTGGAAGAGACGGCATCACTATAGAACTTCTTCGAGCATGCGGTCTGCCTTTATATCGAGCCCTTGCTAAGAGGTTTACGCGTTATGTAGCTGAATGTGCTGTTCCAAGGGCGTGGAAGCAGTCATCGACAGTGTTACTGTTCAAGAAAGGCGATAAAGAAGACCTGGCAAACTATCGTCCCATCACTCTGCTGCCGGTATTCTACAAAGTGTTTACGCGTTGCATATTGGCGCGTATCCGACGAACATTGGAAGAGGCTCAGCCAGTAGAGCAGGCAGGCTTTCGCCGCAATTTTAGCACGCTCGACCATATTATGACCTGTCGACGCCTTATCGAAGCATCGCGCGAGCATCAACTGCCTCTGGTGATGACATTCATTGACTACAAGAAGGCGTTTGATTCAGTGGAACCAACGAAGGTATGGAGGGCGCTGGAAGACCAAGGCGTCGAAAAGGTGTACGTGGATGTGCTGCGTGAATGCTACACGGAATGTTCAACAGTGTTTCGCCCTTTCTACAATGACGTTGTTGTTGCAGTTGAGAAAGGCGTGCGACAAGGTGATCCAATATCACCTAACCTCTTCGCTGCCTGTCTGGAATCCGTGATACGCCGCTGCAACTGGAGCAGCCAAGGAATCAACGTCGACGGCATGCGTTTGAATCACCTCCGATTTGCCGATGACATCGTCTTGATTACGGATTCGCCAGAGCATGCATCTGAGATGCTAAATCTTCTGGACGAGGAAGGAAGTCATTGCGGTCTCGTTATCAACACCTCCAAAACGAAGGTCATGCGGAATGCATTCTCAGCTAGCGCCCCTGTACTCTTAAAAGGAAGTCCAATCGAAGACGTTGAGGAGTACATATACCTTGGGAGCCAGCTGAACATGAAGAACGATCTTTCCGGAGAGCTAGCGAGACGTCGTAAGGCTGGATGGGCCGCCTTTAACTCAATAAGAAGTGTTGCAGAGGATACCAAGGATCGGAAGCTCCGGGCCGACCTGTTCAATTCGTCAGTGCTACCTGCCCTCAGCTACGCTGGAGAAACCTGGGCCTTAACAAAATCGCTAGAAAAGAGGCTTCAATCCGCTCAGGCATCAATTGAACGTCGTCTGATAGGCCTAACGCTGAGCCGTCAACGAGAACTGAGCCTGCACAATTCTGACGTCAGAGCTATGTCGAAGATTAAGGACGTTTTGGTTCACGTCAATGAAGCGAAGCACCGATTTGCTGGGCATTTGATCAGAAGAAACGATGGACGTTGGAGCTCGAAGACTGCTCAATGGTATCCGCGCGAGAAGAAACGGCCACTTGGCCGCCCTCCTTTACGTTGGGCAGACTCTTTGGCATACAGAAACAACGTGTATGATCCTGTGTCCCTTAAGGTGGCCGTACACTGGACAACGAAAGCCCAAGACCGCGAGCAATGGAAAAGAAGTTGGGACCCGCGCAAGGCCAACCGCCGTGCTGATCAACGGGTCGTCTAAGTATCTAAGTAAGTAAGTACGTCGGTCAGACATTCGCTCGCTGCCTATATAACAATACCGTCTCTTATGCGAGAGGTGGTCAACAAGCTTTGTCAGCGTTCGGATGCTTGGGATCTGGGGTCGGGCTGGCGTCTGTACCCCGGGTCGAGTTCAGATCGAAGAGGCAACCACTTTGGCCAGCCCGGGAGTAACTACATATGTTAGTTGCGTTGCCCAGACCACCACGCTCTCGTTCGTTATCAA